TGTGTGTGTGTGTGTGTGTGTGTGTGTGTGTGTATATACACACACACACACACATATATATTTAAAGGAAAAACTCCCAAGTAATTCCAACACTAATCTATCTCCATTATCTACTTCCAGGGTTAAATATTTTGTTATATAACCTGCTGTCTTTTGTAAGTGCCCTCACTATTAGCTAGCAGATCTGTGACTTACTTACTCCAACTCTATTGATGGAAAGGTCTTGATACTCTTGGAGAGAATTCCCAGCACTTCCCTTTTGCTAATTAAGGTGTCCCCAAGTGCCCAACCCCTGGGTGATTACAAATGCAAAAGTGTTAAAAATAGTGCTCATACTCTAAGGAATCAGCTGCCAAATACTCTCTAATAAGCAGAAATTTCACATAACTCAGGCCTCTGGGGGCTCACACTTCAGCTGGAGCAAAGCCAGAAATGTCTGTGACCGCAGGTGCACTTGGACACATTGGGACCTGCCGAACAGCAAGCTGGCCTCTGCAGTTGATTTAGGAGAGGGCTGGAGGGTTGAGCTTTTGCTGACATTTGCAGCTTGGAAAATCCGACTCCACTAATTGCAAAAAGGATTCTACTGTAATGATTTTATTTTTTTTTTTGTAAGATACTTTTCTCATTTTGAATTCTTTCTTCGTCTGGGCTCTGGACACTTCCCAGCCTCTATATTTATTATTTTAACTTCTGTTACAGGAGGCTCTTCAGAAGTTTCTGCCTGCACATGATCGTGCATTCATCGAGTGGTGCGTGGGCACAGTTTACGAGCCTTAATGTGCACTTCATGAGCAAGCAAGTTTACAGCCCCTTTTATAGGAATTGGTACACATTCCCTCTGCTTGCCCCCGTCCCTGCCCACATGAAAACATGGGAATTTTTTGCTACTACTGTGGAAGAAAAGTTAGAAGACACTTTGACCTCATGATTTTGCTGAGAGCTTGCTTTCTTAATGGTGTGCTTTCTGGACTCTTAGTTTATTTTTTAATTATTTTTATTTTGTTGAGACAAGGTCTTACTCTGTCACCCAGGCTGGAGTGCAGTGGTGTGATCCTGGCTCACCACAACCTCTGCCTCCTAGGTTCAAGTGATGCCTCAGCCTCCCGAGTAGCTGAAATTACAAGCATGCACCACCACACCTGGCTAATTTTTTTTTTTTTTTTTTTTTGTAATTTTAGTAGACGCGGGGTTTCACCATGTTGGTCAGGCTGGTCTCAGACTCCTGACCTCAAACGATCTGCCAGCCATAGCCTCCCAAAGTATTGGGATTATAGGCGTGAGCCACTGTGCCCAACTTGGACCTTATTTTTGAAGTTTGAGGGGTACTGTATAGTGAAAATAGCCCTGGATCTGGAGGCTGGGAGTCCTAAGTTGTCTCTGCCTCTTTCCTGTGGACTTTGGGCTGTGGTCTCTGGTCTTTGGCTCTCTGGCCCTCAGTTTTCTCAGTTCTTCTAGTCCATGAAGCTGGAAGAGCTGGGTGGATTGCATCACTCATATCTGGATTACAGCCACTCCAGGCTCTGCAGTGTGCACAGCAGTGGCTTATGGCCTTTGGTCATGGCACCTTCCTGCCAATTGGTTGAATCACAGGCTTCAAAATAATACCTTAGAGACCAAATTTTGCATACAGTTTTTGGGAATGCGCATGTACACTTGCCCCAACAAAAGGCCATGGCCTGCAGGCTAAGAAAGTCAGATCTACAAAGTCAAGTCCAAACTCTTTGATGTTTTCACTTTTCATACTCATATCCTCCGATTTCCACTGACCCTATGCTCTGTTCACATTGGAATTCTGGCATCTTCCTCAGTAACCATCTGTGATGGCTGATTTTGTGTCACCTTGACTGGGCTAAGGGATGCCCAGGTAACTAGTAAAACATAACCTCTGGGTATATCTGTGTGGGTGTTTCAGGAAGAGATTAGCCTTTCCATGGTAGACTCTAAAGATCACCCTCACCAATGTGGGCAGGCAGGATCCAATCAGTTGAAGACTTGAATAGAACAAAAGGGCAGAGGAAGGAGGAATTCACCCTCTGCCTGAGCTGGGACATCCATCTTCTCCTGGCCTCAGACTTTGGTGCACCTGGCTCTTGGGCCTTGGCACTGGGATGCGGACTTACATGTTCCCCCCCACTCCCACCCTCACCCTCTTCTCAAACTTGCTTTTTTTCCTTTCTTCCTAACATATTCTATCATGCACTCAAACTTTCTGTTTTGAGACAGGGTCTCGCTTTTTCACCCAGGCTGGAGTACACTGGCGTGATCTTGGCTCACTGCAACCTCCATCTCCTGGGTTCAAGCAATTCTCCTGCCTCAGCCTCCCTAGGAGCTGAAATTACAAGGGCCTGCCACCACACCCAGCTAATGTTTGTATTTTTAGTAGAGATGGAGTCTTCACCACATTGGCCAGGCTGCTCTCAAACTCCTGACCTCAAGTGATCCACCTGCCTCAGCCTCCCAAAGTGCTGGGATTACAGGCATGAGCCACCTCCATTGGCCCCCTTCTCAGACTTTCTTCCCTTTCTTTTTTTTTTGAGGCGGAGTTTCATTCTTGTTGCCCAGGCTGGAGTGCGGTGGTGCAATCTTGGCTCACTGCAACCTCCACCTCCCGGGTTCAAGCAATTATTCTGCCTCAGCCTCCTGAGTAGTTAGGATTATAGGTGCCTGCCACGCCTGGCTAATTTTTTGTATTTTTAATAGAGACCAGGTTTCACCATGTTGTCCGGGCTGATATAGAACTCTCGACCTCAGGCAATCCACCGCCTTGGCCTCCCAAAGTGCTGGGATGACAGGCGTGAGCCACTGTGCAGGGTCCAGACTTTCAGTCTCAGATTTATACCACTGGTTCCCCTGGGCCTCAGACCTTTGGGCTTGGAAGTACACCGCCAACTTTCCTGGGCCTCCAATTTGCAGATGGCAGATCATGGGACTTCTCAGCATCCATAATCTCGTGACCAGTCCCTTATAATAATAATAAATTTATACATCTTTATATATCCTATTGATTTGTTTCTCTGAATCAATCTGCAAATATCCTAAGACACCATCATTCTGCAAATATCCTTGAGGCCTGCCAATTGTGGCTTCAGGGTTTAAGAAGACATGGTCCCCTCTGGAATTACAGGCAATTAAAGTAGATTACAAAACATTGACAAAGGCTTGGATCATGCTGCTGGACCTTTGCTTGCGCTGTTCTCTCTGCTTGATCTATTCACCCTCCACTGTCACCTCTGTGAAGCTAACCCCAGGCCTAATCAAATGTTCCTTTTATACTGTTCTGGGGACGTTTTCTGTATGTCATTTAACCACGCAGTATCACACCTAGTTGGTTGGTTCTGCATTTTCCTTCCCCACTAGACCGCAAACTCTCAGCTGTTGCTGGTACTACTGTGCTTATCTACAGGGCCTCAAAAGAAGCCGGAGTCCCTGGCTGAGCGCTCAATACACAGGGTGCGAACCAATCAGTGCAAGAATGAACGTGCCACCGGGTCTTGCAGGCTTGCAAAGTGCTTCTCCAAGCTGATTTTGCTTTTCGTGCCCAGGCAGCTCCCGTGAATTGCACGGTAGAGGTCAATAGCTTCTGGGGGTCCGTGGGGAGCCAATGGAAGGAGGATGAGAAATGCAGTCCCACCGCACTCGGGCTGCCCACGTCCGGCGAGAGGCGAGGGATCAGACAACTTCTGCACCTCCCGGAAGCGGCTGTGCCCGCCCCGCCCCTCGGGAGGTGGGCGTGGCCGCATGAATAATGAATCGCGCCGGGGAGGGGCCGGGCCCGCCCCTCCGGGCGGGAAGAGGGAAGCGCCGAAGCCGCCTGACTGGAATGAGGGTAGCTGTGGCGACTGCGGCGGCTGGAGCGGGGCCGGCCATGGCGGTGTGGACGCGGGCCACCAAAGCTGGGCTGGTGGAGCTACTCCTGAGGGAGCGCTGGGTCCGAGTGGTGGCGGAGCTGAGCGGGGAGAGCCTGAGCCTGACTGGCGACGGCGCCGCGGCCGAGCTGGAACCCGCTCTGGGACCCGCGGCGGCCGCTTTCAACGGCCTCCCGAACGGCGGCGGCGCCGGCGACTCGCTGCCCGGGAGCCCGAGCCGCGGCCTGGGGCCCCCGAGCCCACCGGCGCCGCCTCGGGGCCCCGCGGGTGAGGCGGGCGCGTCGCCGCCCGTGCGCCGTGTGCGGGTGGTGAAGCAAGAGGCGGGCGGCCTGGGCATCAGCATCAAGGGCGGCCGCGAGAACCGGATGCCGATCCTCATCTCCAAGATCTTCCCGGGTCTGGCCGCCGACCAGAGCCGGGCGCTGCGGCTGGGCGACGCCATCCTGTCGGTGAACGGCACCGACCTGCGCCAGGCCACCCACGACCAGGCCGTGCAGGCGCTGAAGCGCGCGGGCAAGGAGGTGCTGCTGGAGGGTGAGTGGGGCCGGCCGGCCGGGCGGGAGGGTGGGCGGGCGGGCCGCGGCGGCCTGGGCTCGCGGGAGCTCACTTTGTTCCTGCCCTGCCGGCGGGTGAGCCGGTTCTCTCCCCGTCTCCTCCCAAACCGGGGTTTCTGGAGCTTTGAGTGTGGAAAAACGGATGCTTCTTGCAGAAAAAGTTGGGCAGCCGCCGAAGTGTGGCTTGCAGCCCCTAAGGGAGACTCGGCTGAGATTGGGCAAAAAGCAGCTGCCTATGAAGCTCCCCCTCGGCCGGATAAGCTGACACTAAGAACTAGAGGGAGAGCGAACAGCTCGAGTGGGTCTGTCTCCGTTTGCCCGCTGAGAAGTGCCGGGTTGGCGCTTAACTCACTCACCTCTGGCTCCTACGGGCTGGCAGGTCTATTAAAAAAAAAAGTCCAACACCGATGCCAGCGGTATACTTGGGCAAACCACCAAAGCGCTGGTTAATTTATGGGAATTTAACCCATCATTGGCTCTCAACAATAACCAAAGGAGATCATAGCACTTCATTGAAGCCAGAAAGCTGAAACAGCAAGTCTGTGTGGTTAATGAACCTTGTTTAACAGTGGAGGATCACGTGTTTGAACATTTACTGCCAACTAGAGTTTTGCCCCTTTTGCAAGAGTCTGCTGCCAGCTTCCTACCACTCACAGGCTTGCTGCTTCAAGACTATTAGGGTTTTTGTAAGAAACTTGAAATGGTAAATCACAAGATAAGTTTCAATAACCAGGATTATTCTTTACATTAAGTTATATATGTGATTTGTAAGTTGGATCTTTTATGATGAATTTGAAGTAAGGCAAAAATAAAATTCCTCGCCTTTAAGGACTCATGCATGTTGGAGGTGATAGAGTAAATTGTAAACGAAAAGTCAGTTGCTTTCTTTAGAAATTTTTGAGAGGTCAGCTTTCTTTCACTGGTGATTATTGCTAGCTGTGTTGAAAAGAATATGAAAGAAGATGCTGTCCCTTCTTGGTCTCTTGTTGGAGAAATGATAGAAAAATGCAAAACAACTTATAGGAAGGAAGGGGATGAAGTTGGTGATTATGTCGTGCAAACTATATTTAAGTCCCAAAGGAATGCAAAGTAAGAAAGTAGTTAGTGGAGATGGAATTAGGCAGGTAGGACTTTTTCCCTGAACTGAATCTTGAGCCAGGTCTCCAAGGAAGTGATGGACATAGGCAGGCAGGGATGAGTCAGGAGAGTATTCCTGGCAGAGGAAGAACAGAAGGGAAGGGCTAGGGACTGCTGGTGAGGAAGGACCAATCATCCAACCGAGAGGCCAGAACTCCAACTTGGCACAATAATTTTCAGTTTCTTATAAATCAGCTTGTGAATATTTGGAAAAATGCTGGTTTATCAGAAATGATTTTATGTACACCAGTTGTGAAATTCGTGTCCTGCCTTTATAATATCCTATTTGTAAACCTTGTTTATATTGGATGTCTAGGTGGGGCTAGACACTGCTCGGAAATTTAGTGTTAATAGAAGGAGTAAAATTATAGATTGTGGTTTGGGTGTGTCTAAAAAAATTGTTACTTTAAATGTGTACCTTGACATTGGTCTAGCTAGGCATTTCGTTATAAATTCTTATATCCAGAATATTGAATTTAGTACTATTTATGTAGTCCTCTGTTGAACCCTTTACACCATATTTTTAGAAAACAACACTTTTTGGCCAGGTGAGGTGGCTCATGCCTATAATTCCAGCACTTAGGGAGGCCGAGGCAGGTGGATCACCTGAGGTTAGGAGAACACAGCGAAACCTCGTCTCTACTAAAAATACAAAAATTAGCTGTGGGTGGTGGTGCACGTCTGTAATCCCAGCTACTAGGGAGGCCGAGACAGGAGAATTGTTTGAACCCGTAAGGCGGAGGTTGCAGTGATCTGAGATAGCACCACTGTACTCCAGCCTGGGTGACAGAGCAAGACTACATCTCAAAAACAAACAGAAAACCCACTTTTTGTGTAGGTATAGTTTGAACCTAGTATTCAGACCAGTAAAATGAAAACCTTGTATTAAATGCTTCCCAGTATTTGTTACACTAAATAGACCATGTATGCTTTTAGAAAGATGGCAGCATAATAACATATTTATTGAATGCCTTTTTACCTAACACAGGTTCTACTTTATTTTCCTACTTTGTATAAGACAAGCAGTTTTTGTCCTGATAAGTTGTGAGGAAGTCAATAAAGTAAATTTATGACGTTGCATTTTCAAGCCACTGGTTGTAAAAATAAAATTACTCAAAATATGTAAAAACCACTGAAAACAATGATTTAATTGAACCAGTCAAACATTATTCAAAATTGAGAGCTGGTGTCCCATCCGGGTAGGCCACTTTTAAGCGATAGATTTTAAGTTTAGTCTTTAAAGTTTTCAAGCTGTACTGGATTGTCCTTCCATTAGATGTCTAAAAACTTGAAAAACTGCCATATCATTGCACAACGATGCTTTTTTGTGGTGTGGGCAGGGAATTTCAGGCATGCTCTTGCCAACCCCACACCAGGGAAAGCTATAGTCTTTGGTTGCCTGTGGTTAGGGAATTGAGCTAAAAGTTTCCTTTTTATCTCAGGGATTTGCAGGAATTATTCCCTCATTCATCAGATATTTACTTAACTCTTACCTTGTGCCAGAGGCACTTGAAGACACCTGATTCCTGCCCTCAGGAAGTTTAGAGTTGAGATGGGGGAAAAGGAGGAGAAGTAAGTAAGTGAGCAAAGGGCTAAAAGTGCTCTTTTAATAGAATTTGGAGAGGGCACAACCCAAAGGAGATAGTTTCTATATAAGTCCATCATGGGAATCAGAGGTTGAAGATGCTCAGGTTGATGAAGCTTAAATTGAGCTTTCCCTTAAGAAGAGATAGCTGCCACCTGTAAAGATACAGAAGTGCAAAACATTAAAAAATTATTCTGGCTGGGAATGGTGGCTCACACCTGTAATTCCAGCACATTGGGAGTCCGAGGTGGGCAGATCACCTGAGGTCAGGAGTTTGAGACCAGCCTGACCAACATGGAGAAACCCTCTCTCTACTAAAAATACAAAAAATTAGCCAGGTGTGGTGGCAAGTGCCTGTAATCCCACCTTTGGGAGGCTGAAGCAGGAGAATCACTTGAACCTGGGAGGCAGAGGTTGCGGTGAGCTGAGATCACGCCATTGCACTGTTGCACTCCAGCCTAGGCAACAGGAGAGGAACTCCATCTCAAAAAAAGAAAAATAAAAAGTTATCCTGGTCAGTAAGGGTAGAGTAGAAGCAAGGACTTTGTGGTCAGATGTGGGTTTGTTTCTGGCTAGTGGTTTGTAACCCCTAGGCAAATTACTTAATCTTGCTAAACCCTAGTTTCCTCATCTGTAAAGCCAGGACGGTAATAACACCTCCCTCAGAGTTTTAATTTATTTTACAATTCACATGTTGGGTACCTTTTCAGGGACTGGGAAGACGGCAATGAACAGCGCAAGTCTGAATGAGAAAGGTAGGACCAGGTCATGAAGATATGCCACGAGTTAACAAAGACACTGTCAAAATAGCTAGGATAGCAAGTCATTAAAATAAAATCCAGGGCTGCATTTTACCTGAAAAGTAATACACAATAAGAATTATTTTAGGTGAATAGGTTAAGAATGAGTTTGTACTGGTCCAAGTGCAGTGGTATTTACAACTAATTGATCACAACTAGTTATAGGTTCTTTGTTTCTTCTTCACTTTCACTGTTTCACTTAACTAGCTTAAAAAAAAAAAGGCCATGCCGGGCGCGGTGGCTCAAGCCTGTAATCCCAGCACTGTGGGAGGCCGAGGCGGGTGGATCACGAGGTCAAGAGATCGAGACCATCCTGGTCAGCATGGTGAAACCCCATCTCTACTAAAAATACAAAAAATTAGCTGGGCATGGTGGCGTGTGCCTGTAATCCCAGCTACTCAGGAGGCTGAGGCAGGAGAATTGCCTGAACCCAGGAGGCGGAGGTTGCGGTGAGCCGAGATCGCGCCATTGCACTCCAGCCTGGGTAACAAGAGCGAAACTCCATCTCAAAAAAAAAAAAAAAAAAAGGCCAGTGTGGTGGCTCATGCCTGTAATCCAGCACTTTGGGAGGTCAAAGTGGGAGGATCACTTTAGCTTAAGAGAGACAAGCCTGGGAACATAATGAGACCTCGTCTATACAAAAAATTGAAAAAAATACAACTAGCTGGGTGTAATGGCGCACTTGTAGTCCTTGCTACTTGAAAGGCTGAGGTGGGAGGATCACATGAGCCCAGTATTTGAGGCTGCAGGGAGCCATGATTGCACCACTGCACTCCAGCCTGGGTGAACAGAGTAAAATGCAGCAAATAAATAAATAAGAGATGGAATCTTGCTCTGTTGCTCACTCAGCTAAAGTGCAGTGGTGCAATCTGGGCTCACTGCAGTCTCTACCTCCCAGGTTCAAGCAATTCTCCTGCCTCAGCCTCCCGAGTAGCTGGGATTACAGGCATGTGCCACCCCACCCAGCTAATTTTTTGTCTTTTTAGTAGAGACAGAGTTTCACTATGTTGGCCAGGCTGGTCTCGAACTCCTGACCTCATGATCCACCCGCCTTGGCCTCCCAAAGTGCTGCGATTGCAGGCATGAGCCATGGTGTCTCACCAATATTATTTTATTTCAGTGCAATCATGGCTTTGTTCACCGCTTGGCCAGTTCTTAAATTTTGCATTTCGTTTCTTATTTCTGGTTTTTCCTCTTCCTTATTTATTACTCAGAACCTTAAAACTTGCCATTAAGTGTGTTTATAGTTTTGGCTAGCTGAATTTAGCATTGGTATTAAGACATGTGCAGATTAAATGACATTTATATTAATAATGCAGATTGCAGGCCAGGTGCTATGGTTTATGCTGTAGTTCCAGGACTTAGGAGGCCCAGGCAAGAGGATTGCTGGAGCTCAAAGGTTCAAGACCAGCCTGGGCAACATGGTGAGACCCTATCTCTACAAAATTAAAAGATTAGCTAGATGTGGTGCGGCGTGCCTGTGGTCTCAGCTAGTCAAGAGGCTGAGGCTAGAGGATCACTTGAGCCTTGAGGCAACAGTAACTCATGATCACTCCACTGCACTCCAGCTTGGGTGACAGAGCAAGGCCCTTTCTCTAAATAAACTAACTAACTAACTAAATAAATAAATAATGCAGATTGTAAGCATAAAGGGATAACTCTACTCACATATCAGATATTGTATGTTGAATGTACTGTGTCCTTTGTTCTAGAAATATTGTCTGTCCAGAGAATTCCTAGAACTTATATTTTTAAATCTATGAAATTGACCACATGAACATAAATTGAACGCATTGAAAAGTGTTCCAGGCTGGGCGCGGTGGCTCACACCTGTAATCGCAGCACTTTGGGAGGCCGAGGTGGGTGAATCACGAGATCATAAGTTCAAGACCAGCCTGGCCAACATGGTGATGAAACCCTGTCGCTACTAAAGATACAAAAAATTAGCTGGGCATGGTGGCGGATGCTTGTAATCTCAGCTACTTGGGAGGCTGAGGCAGGAAGTATTTTTATTGAATCTGCTGGAAGGAAATGGTTAATTTGGTGGAGAAAGTAGACTGGCATGAAATTAAACTTCAGAATTGAAGATAATTATTGATTGATCGAGACAGTTTCTCACTCTGTCTCCCAGGCTGGAGTGTAGCAGCGTCATTGTGGCTCACTGCTGCCTCAACCTTCCCAAGCTCAGGTTACTCTCCTACTTCAGCTTCCCAAGTCACTGGGACTACAGGTGCATGGCACCATGCCTGGGTAATTTTTGTATTTTGTATAAAGATGAGATTTCACTATGTTGGCCAGGTTGGTCTCAAACTCCTGACCTCATGATCCACCCGCCTCAGCCTCCCAAAGTGCTGGGATTACAGAAATGAGCCACTCTGCCTGGCTGAAAATAATTTTTGTATCTAGAATGGTTTGATTTGAGTGTTACATATAATGTGGTTCTTTTTGTATATGTTAGGGGACATGCAACAAATACTGCAGACATTATTAGGCTGCTAAATTGAAGAAGCTTCTTTGGATTCCCACATTGCCACTTTCTTCATTATGTATTTGACATGTTGAGAATCTCCCAGGGAAAACAAGTTACATTTTCTTTGAAACTGCATGTATGTTAATTAATCTCTCTCTCGTTTTTTTTTTTTTTTTGAGATGGAGTCTTGCTCTGTTGCCCAGGATGGAGTGCAGTGGCACGATCTCTGCTGACTGCAACCTCCACCTCCTGGGTTCAAGCAATTCTCTTGCCTCAGCCTCCCGAGTAGCTGGGCATGCATCACCATGCCTGGCTAATTTTTGTATTTTTAGTAGAGATGGGGTTTCACATGTTGGCCAGACTGGTCTTGAACTCGTGATCCGCCTGCCTCAGCCTCCCAAAGTGCTGGGATTACAGGTGTGAACCACTGCACCTGGCCTAATCTGTCTCTCTCTCTCTTTTTTTTTTTTTTGAGATGGAGTCTTGCTCTGCCACACAGACTGGAGTGCAGTGGCGCAATCTCAGCTTGCTACAACCTCCATCTCCCAGGTTCAAGAAATTCTTCTGCTTCAGCCTCCCAAGTAGCTGGGATTATAGGTGCCCACCGCCACACCCCGCTAATTTTGTATTTTTAGTGGAGATGGGGTTTCTCCATGTTGGTTAGGCTGGTCTTGAACTCCCAACCTCAGGTGATCTACCCAACTCAGCCTCCCAAAGTGCTGGGATTACAGGTGTGAGCCACCATGCCTGGTCGTGTTTTTTTTGTAAGGAGTGAGGTATAGCCTGTGGCTATGGAACAGTGTTTTGCTCTTCTCAGCTGACTATTTGAGGATCCAATCAGTTTTCCTGGCTAGGTTAGCACACTGTGGTAACTAACTGGACAACAAATAATGCTGTTTGCTTGCATCTTCCAATAAATAGTATAATAATGCTTTACATTTTAATAAGGATTTTTAAAAATTTATTTATTTATTTATTTGAGTTGGAGTCTTGCTCTGTCACCCAGGCTGGAGTGCAGTGACATGATCTCGGCTCACTGCAACCTCCGCCTCCCAAGTTCAAGCAATTCTCCTGCGTCAGCCTCCCAAGTAGCGGGACTAAAGGCGTGCACCACCATGCCCAGTTACTTTTTTTTTTTTTTTTTTTTTTTTTGAGACGGAGTTTCGCTCTTGTTACCCAGGCTGGAGTGCAATGGCGCGATCTCGGCTCACCGCAACCTCCGCCTCCTGAGTTCAGGCAATTCTCCTGCCTCAGCCTCCTGAGTAGCTGGGACTACAGGCACGCGCCACCATGCCCAGCTAATTTTTTGTAGTTTTAGTAGAGACAGGGTTTCACCATGTTGACCAGGATGGTCTTGATCTCTTGACCTTGTGATCCACCCACCTCAGCCTCCCAAAGTGCTGGGATTACAGGCTTGAGCCACCGCGCCCGGCCTACTTTTTGTATTTTTAGTAGAGACGGGGTTTCACCATATTGGCCAGGCTGGTCTCGACCTCCTGACCTTGTGATCCATCCACCTTGGCCTCCCAAAGTGCTGGGATTACAGGCATGAGCCACCGTGCCCAGCTAATAAGGATTTTTAAATTACGCATTTTATTTTATTTGAGACAGGGCCTCTCTCTGTCGCCCAGATGAGTGCAGTGGTGTGATCACAGTTCACTACAGCCTCAACCTCTTGGGCTCAAGTGATCTTCCCACCTCAGCCTCCTAAGTAGTGGGCTACAGGTGTGCACCACCATGCCAACTGATGTTTTTATCTTTATTTTTTGTTTTTTGTAGAAACAGCCCTCATTATGTTGCCCAGGCTGATCTGGAGCTCCTGGGCTCAAGCAATCCTCCTGTCATAACCTCTCAAAGTGTTAGGATTACAGTCATGAGCCAATGCCCCTGGCCTGTCTATAATATCTATATTTTCTCATTGGATCTTTATACAGTCCTCTGAGGTAGGCTGTTTATATTTGTTGTATAAATGATTAAAATTGAGTTTTACCAAAGTTAAATGAGTTACTGAAGGTCTCAAGAATTTCTCTTGATTTTTTAGGGAAAAATTTTAATTTTTAATTTAGGCTAGAAAACAGTCTTACTTGGATTTTTTTAAAGTTGGTAATGTCTGGGTTTTTTTTTTTTTTTTTTTTTTTTTTTTTTTTTTTTTTTTTTTTTTT